ACATCAAAACATCCAGGCATCCCCTGGGCAATGTCCTTGCAGATGGCCAATTCTCTCACACCAAAAGCAACTTGCAGTTTCTCAAGTTGCTCCTGACATGACAAAACAGAAACATGAACACAGAGTTGTGTTGCTTTGAGGACAACTGCTGTATAGCCCAAGGCTATCTGCCAACACATAAATGAGCTACAGGTGCTATTTTGCCTCCCCAACAAACAGAGTTCTTGTCCTTGCATATAGATAGAAGGAACAGGACCCCCAAGGAGTTGAAAATAAAGAGAACATGTGAGATATTAGCAAGCCAATATTAAACAGCAGCTGCTTTGTCTTTCACACATTCTAAAACAATAGGCAATTGTCTATATCAGGCGAAAACTCTCAATCGTGATAATGCAACTATTAAACACTAGATTAATCTTGATGTCAGAGTGCTCCTGAAGGTAAAGTATAAAGGGCAGTGTATACACTATAGAAATAAATGCATGATTTACAAGTCAGATAATGAGAAGGCAGGAAAGCTTGGAGAAGATAATGATGGTGGGGAAAATGGAAGGAAAAAAAGAAGAGGGGCCGACCAAGGGCAAGATGGATGGATTGTATCCTTGAAGTGACTGGCTTGACCTTGAAGGAGCTGGGGGTGGCCACGGCCAACAGGAAGCTCTGGCATAGGCTGGTCCATGAGGTCACAAGGAGTCAGAAGTGACTGAACGAATAAACAAATACAAGTCAGAATCTGTGCAAAGCCTATAGAAATAAATACATTATATATAAATCAGAATCTATGCAAAAGCACACAACAACAACCCCATAAGGTTGCTGTCATGTGCTTTGCATAGATTCCGACTTACATATCACAGGGTTTTTTGGGCAAGATTTATTCAGATAAATGATTTGCTCCAAGTAACCTAGTTGGCTAAATAAAGATTTGAACTCTGGTCTCGTGAGTCCTGTTCCAACACGCAAAGCACTACACAGTGTTGGCCACATAAATCCTGCAAAAATGTTTCTAAAGATGGTTTTAGCAGTGGTTTTCTCAAGGGTATCCATCAAAGCACTTACAAAATCAGTTCAGCTGTCCAGAGCAGGCCAACTTGGACAGACCTACTACTTCATCACAGAAGAGAATGAATCCACTTTAAATCCGGTTTCTGCCTCCTACGGATTCTGGGTTTGTAGTTTAGTGAGGCTTTTTAAAGGACCTTCCCTAAACTACAAACCCCAGAATTCTGTAGGAGGCAGCAACCGAATTTAAAGTGGATTCATTCTCTAGTGGGATGAGGTCACTGCATAGTTATTTGGTATGTCAATGCTCAGGAAACCCACCTAAGTATTCCTTTTGAAATGCCTCCACAGGTGATTATTTGTCCCATTCATGATTTATTGGCATTTTATCTCTTGGATGAAACAGAAATATATCAGTAGTGGAGCCTTATTTAAAAACGGCTTGGCTAGCAGGATGGCATTTCAACGTTGTTTGCTCATGAACAGGGGACGAGGACTTTGCCTTCTGAATCTTTTAAATCTTTTCAAAACAAAGCCTCATTCAAAGGATAAGCTTGTTAGTGAAACAGGGAAGGCAATAAATAGATTGCAAACAGAAACTAAGTGAGGCTATAAAACAACTCTGAAGGCTTTGTCAAAATATCAACTCTTGAAGGCAGTGCTTTGAGCATTTGTCATTCCTGCAGAACTGAATTGCCCTTTCAGCCTGGAAGGGAGTCCCATTGTGAGCAAGGCAGTGTATTAAATCTCGGAGAAGCAGGGGGTCTGACTCAACTGATCACCCGTCAGGTGTTATTTCTCTGCCACCCCCTCTGCATTCACTCTGCTTTTGTAATTTGTGCAAGATACTCTGCCTGCTTGCCACTGAGAGAAACATTTATGCATCAAATTGGTTTAACTCCTTTCCCAATAATTCTGTTAGCATTGATTAGAATTGCATTTGCCAACCAAATGAAAAGGCTTTCAAGCAGAGCACGAGTAGGCAAAGTGTAGCCCCTCTAGATGGATTTGGACTGGAATTGCCTGCATTCCTCATTACTGGGATGATGGGTGTTGCAGTGTGACAACATCTGAGAGACCAAGGCATGATCTAACTAAATTCAACTGCTAAATCAGAATTCAAGATACAACTGAAGACCCATCTCTACCTAGTCAATGTTAAACTGAATTTTTGCCAGCATTTTATTGGTGTTGGTTTTTGTTGTGTGTAGTTTGATATATGCATTTTTATCATGTTGTATTTGTCTGTCTGCTTTTAACTTTAAGCCATAGGGAGAGATGGGTAACATAATTATAATTATAATTGTTACTTTCTGTCCTTTGTTTACCACCACTGGTTTAACTGCAAAACCACTGTTTTAACTGCATAATAAAAGGGTCAGCTCAAAGTTATCCTTGCTTAGGCTATCGCTCGTTGTCTGAGTATGATGGCCTTCCAAGTGTAGGGTCTTGGCAGTGTGTCTGTAGGTGACTGTAGACCTTTTAAAACTATGGCATAGACACCCAAGAACTGGGAAGCCCTGGCCCTTGAGCACTCTAACAGAGGTCAGCGGTGACCAGCAATACTGTGAAATTCAAAGAGGCATGAATGGAGGACAAAATGGAGAAACTGTCCTCCTCAGTCTTGCTGTTGTCACATTGCAACTTCCATCATCCCTAGCTAGCAAAGTCAGTAGTGAGGAATACTGGGATTTGCCACCCAACACCATCGGGAGGGAGCATACTTTGCCTACTCATGTTTTGCTTGGTCCCTGATGTAGTTCTGATCCACAAGCCATTGGAGAGTGTTCAGGAAAGAAACAGTTTTAGACACAAATATATTCTTGGTATATGAGGAATTCATATTTATGTGTTGGGTTGTATAATTTTTGTTAGTATGGATGTATTGTTGCTGTATTTGGGCATTGAATGTTTGTTTGGAATCAGCCCTGAGTCCCTTTGGGAAGATAGAGCGGAATACAAATAAAGTTATTATTATTATTATCTATATATATAAATTTGTTAGGGGCATCCAACGAGGAAACAAAACTCAAAAAACCCCCCAACGAAACTTAACCAAAATTCCCATGCCCATAACACAACCCACAAGGTACAAACATATCTACTCAAAATGAAAAACAACACAACAACACACTCACAAAACGGCAAAAGGATAAAACTCTAAAAAAACCAATGAAACTTAACCAAAATTCCCATGCTCATAACACAACCCACAAGGTACAAACATATTACTCAAAATGAAAAACAACACAACATCACACTCAAAACGGCAAAAAAACAAAACTCAAAAAAACCCCAACGAAACTTAACCAAAATTCCCATGCCCATAACACAACCCACAAGGTACAAACGTATCTACTCAAAATGAAAAACAACACAACAACACACTCACAAAACGGCAAAACAACTGAGCATGCGCATTGGCCCACTCCAAGCCCCGCCGCGCCGCTTCCCGCACACACACACACCCCTGCCGCACACACACACACTCCAAGCCCCGCCGCACCGCTTCCCGCACACACACACCCCCTGCCGCACACACACACACAACCCCACACTCCATCCCTCCCCCCGCCGCCGCACACACACACGCAACCCCACACTCCATCACTTCCCCCGCTGCCGCATGCACACACGCAACCCCACTCCCCCCGCCGCCGCACACACACACGCAACCCCACGCTCCATCACTCCCCCCGCCGCCGCACGCACACACGCAACCCCACTCCCCCCGCCGCCGCACACACACACGCACACACGCAACCCCCCCCCCCCCGCCGCCGCACACACACACGCAACCCCACGCTCCATCACTCCCCCCCGCCGCTGCACACACACACACAACCCCACGCTCCATCACTCCCCCACCCCAATCTTACCTCCTTTTACTTCACGCCACCTCCAAACCCCACCCCGCCCCTTCCCGC